CCTCCTCCCTGGGGGTTCTAGGTGGGGTCTCCACCCCTGAATTACAACTCTGTTCCCCGGTTTCTTTAAATATTGCTTTGCACTTGTATTTATTGCTATAATCGTGTTCTGGAGTCAGAAGATCAAACTGTGTTCTGAGTCCCCTGCCCCACTCCTGCCCTCCCCTAGTGTGTCACACTGGTTATGCCTGCCCCCCTCTCTTTTACACACACACACAAACACACACACACAAACACAGAAAATGAGCTTGTACTCCTGAGTGTGGTAGGATATCAGGACTCCCAATACATCAAATGGGGAGTGCGGGGAATCAGAGAGCCAGACTATAGAAGTGTGGGGTGGTCAGCTGGCCACCATGGCTAAGGCCCCGGGCTGGTCTCACACTGAGTGTTGAGTCAGTTCACCCCTGGGAGCTGGGGTAGGTGGTGTCTGTGGCTTCAGCTCGCAGAGGAGAAGGACGGAGACTGAAGAGCTGAGCTGTGTCCTCAGCGACCCTGAGCCTGAAGCCGCTGCATCTGCAGGATCTGGCTGAGAATGCACTGTACGTCCTCGTCCATCTGTCCCTGGTGAGGTAGGAGACAACAGAGGCAGAGTCACACCCTGGTGCTCCTGCAGGGTGCAACCCTGTCCCTTGCAAATCTATCTATTCAAACCCAAGGGAGTCAATGCCCCAAGAAATAGGTCAGTGCACAGGAACGTACCCAGAAGCCATGTGGCTGGCTCTGAACAGAAGGAGAACATGAGACCCAGGTAATGGCAGAGGAACAAAAAAGCTGGGCCGGAGGCAGGAGGCAGGGGACTCACCTGAATTGCATACAGGAGATGGGTGCGGTACAAAGCCACCACAGCGCCGTGCTCCCTGGCCTCCTCCTGTGGACACATGAGAGAGGGAGGGACCAGAGGTACAAGGTCATGCTTGTGTACATTGTGAATTTGAGGTCAGCCTCGGCTACATGAGACCCTGACACAAAAGAGAGGCACCTGAGTCAGTGGCCGCTGGTTGTTGACTCAGGGAAATGTCTGATGTCCCCTGCCCAGCCTGCACCCTGCCAGCCATCCCCACCTCCACGCCGACTACCTGTCTGTGGCTCCCATCACCCCGTCCCACGATACAGAGCCAGTACCTGTATCTGCTGCTGCAAGGCTGTCACCTGGCCACGCAGGGCCTCCTCCTCCTCCTTGGAGCTGGCTGGGGTGGACTGCTGCACCTTCAGAGCCTCCTTCAGTGTAAATACTTCTTTGGACAGGTCTGTGATCTGGTAAGGAGAGTGGACCCTGTGAGTGGTCATGCTGAGCTAGGCAGGGACCAGGGACCTCTGCACCTTTCCTGGGCTGCTTGGCACAGGGTCACTAATTTGAGTGAGGAACAGAACTGCCTCAGACTCTGATCATCCTCCTGTTTGTCAGAACACACTGCAGGAATTCAGTCATTCAAGGAGAATTCTGAATGCTGTGAGAACATGCCAAAAAACTGTATTTATATGGCCCAGGGCTTAAAATGTTCCTCATAGTTTTAAATATTTGGAGAGAAAAAAATCCAAAGAACGATCTATTTTGTGACCCGTGGCAGAATTCCAAATCACATACAACCTTTGTTAATACAGTTTTACTGTCCCATAGCCATGTCTGCTTACAGCAAACAGGAACCAGACATTATGGGGCCAGGTCAATAAATACTGTTTTTTGTTCTGTTCTTGGTTCTTCATAAAAAAAAAAACACCATGCATCCCTTTATCTTAAGGCCTGTGTTGGCACACCTGTGTTGGCTGTCTAGCCATACCCAGTACCCCATAAACCCAGCTTGGGATTTTTATCTCATTTTATGGGATGCCCATCGTTGACCTGTGACTTCCACACATGCACATGCATACAAAGGGCATACACAGTAAGATAAAACTGGGGGCCAGTGATACAGCCCAGGGGCAAAGGCACTTGCTGCCAAGCCTGTCTCTCTACCTGAGTTTAATCCCTGCGACCCACATGGCTGAACACTATGGATTTGGGCAAGTGGTCTGCTGACCACACATGCATGCCCCAAGCCCAACATAAGTAAATGCGTGTAATCTTAAACATTCTTTAAATGTATAAATGGGTTCAAATCCCAGCTTATGACCCGTTTCCTGGCCATGTGACCTTCTCTGAGTGGTATCACCTCTCTGTGCCTATTACTTCAAATGGTGATAATTAGAGAACACAGTAAGAGCTGGATATCTGTTGCCATGACGCATTTGAGCATTGACACCAAGAGTGAATCCAGCTGACACTTTCTTCCTTCTCTGGGACTCAGTCTCCCACGTGACAAATGGGCCAAATTCTCAAGACCTTGCTGGCTGGGAGGTTCCTCAGTTTTGTGTAATCTCGGGTTAGTGGGCACCAACAGTTAGCAAGGAGGGAACCCACCTTCTTGTCCTTCTCCTTGGCTTTGTCCAGGGCCTCCTGGGCACGGCTCTGGGCCTGGCGTGCCCTCTCGGCCTCTGTACGAAGGCCCCGGAGCTGCTGCTCGGCCGTGGCCAGCTGGGCCTCGGCTGCGTGCCTCTCACTCTTCATAAACAATGCCTCACGCTGCACCTGTGGTCCAAGCCCACTCGTGACTCTCGGGACATTTAGACCCCAAAGAGGCTTGGATCCTTGGGCTCTTCCCACCCCTCCATGCTGAGCTGGTACCATTCCACATCAAGGAAGGTTCTGATTCCCACCCAACCGGAACACACTGGACCTGCCAAGAACCACTGGCTACTAGCTCTTTGTCCCTGGACAGGGAATTAGGCCTCTTTGTGTCCTGGTGTCCTCATTTGTGGTACAAGCCTGTGACACAGGTACTCGGGAAGCTGAGGCAGGATGAGTTCCAAGGCTACACTGTGACTTCAAGGCCAACCCAAGAACTGAGAGAGACTGTTTCAAAACACACACACGCACACGCACACAATCCCTTCTAAGGAAGTTTGTTCTCATTTTGTTTTGTTTTGTTGAGACAGGGCCTCACTGTGCAGCGGTGAGTCACCTAGTTGGGCAATAACAAAATTTTCAACTCAGATGGGACTCAGTGGGTAGAGTGCTGTCCCAGCATGCACCTCTGTGTAAACAGGTCCTACTGTCATCCCTTTAATTGGAAGGTAGAGGCTAAAGGATCAGGAGTTCAAGATCAGCCTGGACTACTCCAGTCTCTGCTATAAACACAGACACGCACGCACGCGCGCGCGCGCGCGCACACACACACACACACACACACACACACACGCACAGATCAGGGCTCACGGGTAAAGGTGCTTGCAGCTAAGCCTGACAGCCTTGGTTGGTGCACAGGACACACATGGTGAGGAGAGGACTGGGTCCCACAGGCTGCCATCTGACTTTCCCACCACGCCATGTGTGTGCACCACATAGAAAATAATAAATTAAATCTAAATAGAAATCTTACAGGCTGGAGAAATAGCACAGGGAGTTAGAGCACTGCTCTTGCAGAAGACCAGGGTTCGGTTCCCAGCACCCACGCGGTGGCTCATGTGTGTAACTCGAACATCCAGTAAATCAGACGCCCTCTTCCGGCCTCGGGAGCGCCGCGTAAGTGTGTGGACATTCACGCGGCCGCCCAGGCCCACGCGGAAAGCCTTGGAAAGGCCAGCCTGGCGCACGCGCCCACCTGGAAGACTTCTGCGCTCGTCTTCTCGTGCCTGCGCGCCAGCTCGGCCAGCTGAGCCTGCAGCCGGGCCACTTGGTCGCGCAGGGCTCCCAGCGCGCGCTCGTGCTCGTCCGCAGGAACCGAGGCCCCGCGCGTGCGCTCCAGCTCCTCGCGGGCGGTGTCCAGGGTAGAGCTGAGTTCGGCGGCCCGAGCCTCGGAGGCAGCTAGCCGCTGGCGCAGCTCGGCGGCCTCCGTGCGTGCGCGCTCGCCCGTGGCCGTAGCCGTGGCCAGCAGTTCCCGCAGCGCCTCTAGCTGGCGGCTCCGCCCACGCGCCGCCTCCTCCGCTTCTGCCTCCGCCTCCGCAAAACGGCCGCGAGCCGCCTCTAGCTCGGCCGCAGCCTCCCGCTCCCTCCTGCGGAGCGCCTCCTCCAGGCCTCGGATCCGGGTCTCCAGCTCGGCCTGCAGCGCCGCCGCCGCCGCCCCCGGGTGCAGGACCGCCGCGCGGGGGTCCTCCGTGCCGCCGGCCCCGGCTTCCGTAGTGTCTGTCACAGCGGCCTGTGCTCCCGTGGGCTCCACAGCTGCGTCCCGCGCCCCACTGCTGTCTGCCTCCGTGGCCTGCCAGCAATTGGCCTGCGCTCCCGTCGCCTCCGCCCCCGCGGCCCCCGTGGTAGTGTCCTTGACTCCTACGGCTTCTGTCGCTGTGGTCTGCACTCCTGTGACCTTCACCCCTATGACCTCCGCCACTGTGGCCTGCACTCCAGTGGTCTTCACTGCCGTGGCCTCTACTCCTGTGGCCTGAATTCCTGTATCCCGCACTCTGGTGGCCTCCTCGTTTCTAATCGCGGTGCCTGTGAGCCCTGCCTGCAACACATCCACCCCGCCAGCCTTCACTCCCGGGTTCTCTTCTCCTCCTGTATCTTCTACAGCCACTGGCTCACTTTCAACATTGTCGCCTACAGCTTTCACATTTAGGGCCTCAGCCATAATAGCACTAGTGTCCACTGCCTCGGCTGCCACTCCATCTTTCCCCGTGGCCTCTGAACCTGCAGCCTCGGGTTCCATGGGTCCTGCTTCTGACGCCCCTGCTTCAGTGTTCCAGACGCCCTTGGAGCCTCCTGCTTGGAGTTCCATTCCGTTTGCTTGGGTTTCTGTACACGTGTCGCCATTGAGGTCTGGGACACTAAGTCCATTCTGGGTAGCGATTCTCTTGTCCTTGATTTCCTGGTGTGCTGTCTCTTCTCCTCCATGAGCCCTCGGTGGCTCGCCCTGCTGCTGCTGCTGCATAGTATGCATGGCCTTTGTGTGCTGCCTCCGAAGCTGCTCAAGTTCTGCCCTTAAGGATTCATACAAGACCAGGGGGACGACCTCGGGCTGACTTTCTTCCGCCATCTGCACCTCATCCTTTTCAAACTCCTCAAGGATCTGGGGGTGGGGAGACAGGCAGGCTAAGTGGTCCACTCACCAAGTTCCCTGCCCACCCCGAGGTCTGTAGAGATGTCCACTGCCTCAGTTTCCCCACCTGGACCTTTTCCAGCAGCTCCTGGTTCTGCCTGGTGAGCTGAGCCACCTGCTCCCGTAGGGAAGCAAGCATCTCCTCTGCTGATGGACTCTGGTTCTTTGACAGCAGTGCATCAGCTCCTGACAGGGGTGAGAACAGCACTGAGTCAGGCTGGGGACACACACCATGAGGGACCGTCAGGAGCTGCTCAGTGGGGGGGGTCACACGTCTCTGCCATGGGAGGCTATGGCTGTGGCTCTGTAACCGCCTGGCCATCCACCCCTCAGGATCCCGGGTAGGCAGCGGGGAGGGTGGGGTAGAAGGGGCAGATCTCACCTGGGAAGTCAGGTATCTCACCCTCCTCATCCTGCAGGGTGGCCACATCATAGCTTGTGTTTTCTCTCTCGTTCTAGGAGTCCAGCACAACGCAGACCTTCAGGTCCTGCCCCTTACTGACCAGAGACTTTAGACCCTCCCAAACTGACAGTGTCCATATATCCACACAACACCGGGACAGAGGCAACTCCCCACTGGCTGGGTCTGTATCGCTGAGCACCCAAATGGCCCTTCTACCTTCTAATGAGAGGCAGGTGTGGACAAGGGCACATGCTAGCACACGCTAGGCAAGTACTTGCCACAGCCACACTCTGGCCGTACAGTCAAGGCTCTGGGTTTGAATCCAGCACATCCCCTAGTGCGTGCTCATCTTCGTGTGTCTGTGTGATTATGTGCCTGTACGGATATTTTACCACGTTGATTTTGTGTGTGTGTGCAGGGGTGCACACACACACATGCCACAGTACAAGGTGACAGTCAGAAGACAACTGGAGAATTGATTCCCTCCTTCATCACATGGGGAGTGAACTCAGGTCAGTAGGGGTGCCAGCAACATCTTTATTGACTGGTCTATGTGGCCAAGTCTAACTGCACACTTTGAGCAGTGTCGGGTGTTTGCGTGAGGGCTGTGGCCTGTGTGTGACTGGTATATTTATATGCTTGGAGCGTGTGTGATGTGTGTGTTTGCAGAAGTCTTGATAAGTGTGTGATTTTATGGAAGTCATGTGTGGGGATGCACCGTGGTGCATAGGTGAAGTTCTGGCGCGTCAGAGTTGCCCACACTCCTCACCTATGCCATGACCCCACCCTTTGCACCTCCAACACTGGCAGGACACACTTTGATGATAGCCCCCGTTCCCCACTCACCCCCTGCTTTCCCCTACACCTCTATGACCATTCCAAGCTCCAACCCACCCAGCCTCTTGCCCTGCCCCTACAGCAACACCCTCACCCCTCCAGACCCTCCTTCAGCAGCTCTGCACTCCCAAGGCCCGCCCACCTCCAGCAGGGACAGGCGGCTCTGCAGGCTCTCCACCTCCCGGCCCAGACTCTCCTTTTCCTCCTGCTTCTCCGCCAGCATCTGTTGCAGCTCCTGCACCTGCAGAGACCGAGATCAGCACTTGAGGACTTCAGGACACTGGACCCTCCCAAACACGGGCTGTGCCCTCCCACCTACCTGTCTCTCCAGGCTGTGCACTGAGCTGGCCTCCGCCTCCAGGGGCTGCAAGTAGAAGTGGTTGGGACTGGATGGCCATGTACCACCCAGTGTCTGGTAGCCACGTCTTTTCTCCACGTACTGTGAGCACCTACTGTGTGCCACTCGGACTGACCCTTCACACTGTCAGACCCCGTTCTGTTCTTTCACTCAGGGCACTTTGGTATATTGCCTGCTGAGTGGCAGATCCTGTTCTGGGCCTTTCATTCATTCACGAACGCATGCATTCACTCATTCATACATTCTTCACCATGGGCCAGTCCCAGTATTCATCCAATCTGAGCTCGGCACTTTCACCTCAGCCTGCCCTGGTGGGCAAGGCTGCCCTCGTGGGCAAGTTTTTGAGTGGTAGAGTGCTATGGTGAAAATGAACAAAGCTGGGAAGGAGGGGACAATTTTAAATATGGTGGCAGGGGAGGTGTTGGAGAAAGGGAGCCTTGGGTACAGCTGGAGGGACAGCAATTCTGTACTGCAAACAGCATGGGCCAAGGCCCTGGGGCTGAACAGAGCCTGGATTGTTGAAAGGCCATTGAGGGGCTGAGTGTCAGGAGCAAAGGGACAGTGAGGGAGAGAGGGGGAAGGAAGAATAGGAAGGTAGGTGGTATGGTATCCCAGGGAACTGCTCCCCCACACCCAGACTCCAGGCCTGCAGCCTCCTCACCTCCTTCCTCCTCCGTTCCTTGTGCTGTTCCAGGCCCCTGATCTTCTGCAGGAGTCGGCCTCTCTCTTGTCTCAGGCGTACAATCTCCTCATAAGCATCCCGGTCGTCCTGTCCCCTCCCCACAGGGGACACCACTTTAGGTAAAGTCTCCAGGGCTAGCAGAACCCACCTTGCCCCAGGCTTCCCCTAACTCTTACAGGAACTGGCATGCTGGCTGGAGGCTGGGGTGCCTTCCTCTTCTTGGGGGCTCCTTGCTTCTCATGGCTGGACACTGAGTTCTGGTGTGGGCAGAGCGGGAGGTAATACATGGGTACAAGGCCGGGATCCACACACGGGGTACAGAGTGACTGCCCTGTGCTGTGAGCAGCCTCAGCTCCCCTGCCTTCCTCCTGTGAAGGACCCCGTGTCTTCCCACTTTTGCTAGATGGTGTGGTTCACTATGTATACTCTCCCTGGCTCTGTCAGCTTCTATGTCATTTTCTATTTCCCGTTAAGCCTGAGACACAACAGACCAAGGGTAGGGATGTGGAAAGTGGCCAGGCCCACTCTTGCTCTGTCTGAAGCAGCTGTCAGTGATCCCAGTCCCACTGTCCCCAGTGTGTAAGACTGCTGGTGTTCATGTGACTGCCACTGAGCAGGGGCAGATCCTGGATAGGGGCCATGACAGAACCCTGTACATATAGGTCTGTCTCTTCCTGTAGGTCAGGGGGCAGTGTGTGGTGCACAGGGCAGGGGACTTTCATGCCTTCTGGACTTTTACCTGAGATGAGGCCTCTCCGGAGTCATCCTCTAGAGAGGCTGGGGAGAGAGGGGAGACAATCAGGCACCCAGTTCTGTGTTCTCGGCTCTAGAAAGGTCACTGGCCAACCCACGGTACTCCAAGGGCTCTCAAGGCTTCCCAAGCGTTAGTTCATACCGTGAGTCTCACTCTGTACCCCAGGCTAACCTCAGACTCAGATCTAACTGCTCCGGTCTCCTAGGCACCACCAAATCCAGCCTCTGAATAAGGGACAGTAAAGTAGACCTATGGGTGGAACCCTGGGTGGGGAGGGCCTTTAACTCTCAGAGACTCAGGGCTGGGGAGCTTCCAGGTTGGAGTGGGTGGGTGAGTGGGTTGCAACCTCTTAGGAAAGGCAGTTTCCACAGTAACTAGGGATGACCCAGGAAATCACAGTGGACCCTCAGACCACTGGGGCGTCTTGAAACTGCCCTGAGTTAGGAAGCATGAAAATGTTCATGACTCAGCAGATTGGGGTACTTCAAAACTATCAGGAACATGTAAGGGGATGTCCAGAACCGGCCTGGAGAGCGGGGTAGGGCTTACGTACCACTGGTAGGTGAAGGGCGCTGTACAGACTCCTGGAGAAGCTGCAAGATGAGTTTGTCTCCAGTCAGGGCTCCATAGTGAACGGCATCCTGGCCCAGTGCATCGGTGATACCCAGCTGGGCTCCACCCTGCAGGAGGACTTCAACGGTCTCAGGGCTGCCCCCCTCACATGCCAGCATCAAGGCTGTCCTGTGGGGCAAAGGGGCTGCTGAGGAGGCAGAGGTTTGTCCCCAACACCCTACACCTGTCTCTATACCCAGGCCAGGAAGAGGCGACTGGGCCACCGGCTAAAGAGGTCCAGATATTCGCCCCAAATCCTGCAGCATATGATAGAAAGGCTGGGGGGAGTGCTCACCTGCCTTGCAGGTCCTGGTCATTTGTGGCAGCCCCCTGCTGTAGGAGGAGGCGGCACAGATCTGTGTGACACATCTGAGCAGCTATGATGAGGGGCGTGGCGCCCGACTGGTAGAGAGGATGAAATGGCGTGAGTCTCACCCATGCTTTGCAGAGGACTGCCGGGGTGACACCCATGATGGGCATTTACCAGCATAACACTGTCACCCCACCCAGCGGCTCACCCGATCCCGAGGGTTCAGATGTGCCTTAAAGGAACAGAGCAGCTTTGAGCAGGACAGACAACCACCAGCCACTGGAACAGAGAAGAAAAAGAAAAGTGGGTGGGCGCAACAGCTGCCTGCCAAGATCACTATATTGCTGAAACAGTGTCTCAGTCTGTAGCCCAGGCTGGCCTAGAACCCACTATACAGTATAGAAGTGAATGCTGGGAGGCCCAGGCTGGAAGATGACTGCATGTTAAGGGCCAGCCTGGGCTTCAGATTGAGACCATACCTCAACTAAAACCTCAGAGCTGGAGGGATGGATGGCTCAATGGTTAGAGCACTGGCTACTCTCACAGAGGACCCTGGTTCAATTCCCAGCACCCACATGGTAGCTCATGTATGTAAAAGTTCCAGGGATCTGACACCCCTTTTTGGCCTCTGATGGCACCAGGCACTTATGTGGAACATAGCCACACATGCAACCAAACCACAATCACACACATAAAGGAATTTTTAAAAATATTTTTTCACAAAAATTTAAAATCAAATAAAAACTTTTTAAAAACTGGGTCAAAAAGATGGCTCAGGCCAGGCAGTGGTGGCACGCCTTTAATCCCAGCACTTGGGAGGCAGAGGTAGGCGGATTTCTGAGTTCGAGAGTTCGAGGCTAGCCTGGTCTACAGAGTGAGTTCCAGGACAGCCAGGGCTACACAGAGAAACCCTGTCCCAAAAAAACAACAACAAAAGAAGAACAACAAAAAAAAGATGGCTCAGTTGGTAACAGTGCTTGCTGCCAAATGACCTGTGTTCAAGGCCCAGGGCCTAGCTGAGAGAGAGACAACCAGCTCCCAAAAGTCACCTTCTGACTGTCACACAAGCACCATGACATGGATGTCCGTAACCCCAAAATAAATGAATAAATGCAATTTAATCTTTAAGATATCCCCTATTGGCATTGACACCAACTGGTGGTGCCACTCTGACTGGGGAATTAGTGGCTGACACCTCCAAAGTAAACCCAAGTGTGCTGTCCCCGGGAACAGGAGCCTCTGACCTGGGCCCTGTGCTCATGGGTTCCAGTAAATCCTTAATTGCTCTGAGAATGGAGTCTGGGTTTGAGGGGTGCTGGAGGGACTATCTGCATTCAAGGCACCCAGGAGACCCTGGAAGGAATTAGAGTTCTAGGAATCCCACTTTGTACACCCAGAGACTAGGCTTTGGGGTCCAGGAAATAGGGTCCCCCACTAGGACATGTGCCTGACTTCTCTGTGCAGTGGGCAAAGGGCCGGGTTCAGATGGGGACAGCATTCAGGGCTGATTCCCGAACTGCACACTCGTCAAAAGAAGTAAAGCAGACGGGATGGTGGCCCACATCCGGCACCCAGAAACCCAGAGCTGAGGCAGTAGGATGCCCTGACTTCAAGGTTAGCCTAGGCTACAGAGAGAGACTCTATGTCAAAATAAGGAGGACTGGGAAGTCTGAGGGCCTACGCCTGATTCCTGAAACCCACGTGAGTCAGGTATTGGAGTGCATGCTTGTGACCCAGCGCCAGGGAGGCAGAGGACCCATAGCTCACTGCTCAATCAGCCTAGCCTACGCTGTGAAAGGCTGTCTCGGAGGATGTGGAGGGTACCTGACGATGACACCTTAAGATTGTCTTTTGACTTTCACAGGCCACACACAGGGATACATGAACACACATTCTTTAAAACTAAGAAAAAGTCTGGAGCTGCAGGTCAGAGATAGAGCCCACCCCCCAGAACTCCCCAGCAAGGGAGCTGGAGGCGTGGCCACAGTGCAGTCCCTGTCTAGAATCCCAGTGAGGGCGTGGTCAGGAGGAACCCCGCCCAGAATTCCCTAGTGAGGTCTGTGGATGTGGCTCACTGGCAGAGGGCCTTCCTTGAACTTGGGAGAACATGGCTGCACCTACCTGCATGATGAAGGGCTGTCCACCCACTGCTGTCCTCAATGTCTACCACGCAGGAAGCCTGGGAAGGAGTGACAGGTGATGTCATCTCTATTTCCTGAGTGACTGATGTCCCCTGTCCTCCCCTGCTCCCTTGGGCCCCGCTTTCTCTTAGGTTCTTTCCCGTAACTCCCTATTGCCTGAGTTTCTGGGCCTGTGCATGTTCACATGCAGCACAGCACACTGCAGAGCGGAAGGCAACCTGTGGGAGTCGTCTGTTCTTTCCTTCCGTGTGCCTCCCAGGGAACAAACTCAGATCAAGCTTGAGGCAAATGTTTCTACCTGCTGAGACCCACATATTCATTATTTTTGAAGACCTATTTTAAATTGTACGTGTGTTTACATGTGTATGTGAGTGTAATGTCTGAGAAAACCAAAAGGGGGCATCCGATCTCCTGGAATTGGAGTTACAGCCGATTATGAGCCTCCATGGGGATGGTAAGAATCAAATCCCGGTCCTCTGCAAGAGCAGCCAGGGCTGTAATCACTGGGCCATCTCTCCAGCCCCTCAGGCTCTTTTTCTCCCCTCCCGCATCTTCCTTCCCTGAGAACCCGTGTTCCAGCCCTCCAGATAACTCTATTTTGATAACTGTAACAAAGGGGCAAGGTGGGGCTGGGGACCAGGAGCTGCTGGGGTTTGGAGAAATAGCTGGAATTCAGTATGGACAGGGAAAGGACGTGAGGACCTCCAGGAGTTGCTTCAGGCACTCTGGGTGCCCGTACTTGGCTGCCAGGTGAAGAGCACTGTAACCTGAGGGGAGAAGAGAGGATGTCCTCCAGGTGTTCTCCGATGCCTCCCAAGCCTGAATGTCCAAACTCAGCTGCTCTTAAAACTGTGCTCTTCCCAGAGGCCCTGTTACTGCTATATTCGTTTGCTATCTTTGTCCCAAGTAGCCCAGGCTGGCCTAGAACTCACAGGGATCACCCTGCCTCTGCAGCCTGGTGCTGCGATCAGAGGGGTCTTTTACTTTTTTAATTTTTTATTTTTTTTGGGTTTTCCAGACACGGTGTCTCTGTGTAGCCCTGGTTGTCACACACTAAACTCACTCTGTAGACCAGGCAGGCCTCGAACTCAGAAATCCACCTGCCTCTGCCTCCCAAGTGCTGGGATTAAAGGCGTGTGCCACCACTGCCCGGCTTTTACTTTTATTTTTAATGGGTTCTCATATAGCCCAGGTTGGCCTCCAGCTCATAAGTAGCTGAGGATCACCCTGAACTCCCGATCCTCCACACAGCCTCCACACAGATGCTGGGATGTCAGGTGTGCACCAGCAGTTCAGAGGACAGACTTAGGACTTCCCTCATGCTTGGTGAATGTCCTACCTACTGAGCTACAGCCCCAGTGTGGACAGTGAGGTCCCACAGCTGGACCGTGGTCTCTGCTCTGGACAGCTGACGCAGCCCTGCCATCCACCAGGGGCGTGACCGGAAGTACCTGCTCCATCGGTGCTCATGACATCGGCACCCTGAGCCAGCATCACTTCGAGACAGCCCGCGGCACCCCTCATGGCCGCTAAGTGGAACCTAGAGGCAGAGTCAGGGGTCAATTCCAGAAGAATGTCCCAAGCCACCCCAGCCCCAGGGCTTGGACACTCACGCAGACTTGCCCTCGGGGTCCAGTTTTGTTGGCACCAGCCCCTTGTGGGCGATCAACGAGGCCACTCTGGCCGCATCGTTACTCTCCACTGCCTGGAGCAGGCGCTGGTCACTTTTGCCCCAGTCTTGACCCTGCGGTGGCACACCCAGAGGTGCGAGGGACTGAGTGGGTCCAAGTCCCCTCCCCACCAAGGGACAGGGGCAGTCGCTCCGGGCTCTTCCCCACCCACCCCTGAGCACTTGCCTGGCGCCTGCCTCTGGCTGCGGGTTTCGGGATAGGGCACCGGCCACAGGGTGGGCAGGAGCTGAGGTCAGTGGGGCTGAGCCGGAGCTGTGGGATAGGTGGTCCTGGGCTGGGGGCCTCGAGACAGTGTCTCTGAAACCTGCATCCCCCAGCCTGTGTCTCCAGGCCCACCACCAGGGCAGCTTCCAAATATCAATCCTCCTCAAGCCACCTCTGTGTGCTTAACAAGATACCACCTTTTTTTTTTTTTAAAGCATGTCTTTTATGTAGACCAGGGTATCCTGAAAGTCACTGAAATCCCCCAAAGTACTGGGATAAAAGGCGAGGACCTCAATGCCCCAGCTTTGTTTTTTGTTTGTTTGGTTTTTTGAGTCAGGATCTCCTGTAGCCTATGCTGGCTTCAAACTCTCTGTGAGTCGAGGATGACCTTGAATTCCTGAACTTCCTGACTCCCAGTCCTTAAGGCAGGGGTGACAGGTGTGTAACATCGCACCTGGTTTACGGAGTGCTGGGGACGGAAGCCAGGGCTTGGTGTGTGCCAAGCTCCTCATTCGCGATTATTTTACTGTCTTAGTTTTTTTTGAGACTGGGTGTAACTAAAGTTAAAGATCCCCTGCGCTAGCCTGCGAATGCTGGGGTGACTGGCCTTTTCCAAACTCTCCTCCAGCGCGCACGACCTCGCCCCCGTCCTTCACAGCTTCCCAGCCAAAGCCCCTTTGCCTCCATCAAGGTCTGGCCAGCAGAACTGCAGCCGCGAATGTTTTTAAACTCACTGCCCAGGAACACGGACTGTTCCCAGGTCACTGTCCATGGCGTCCTCCAGACCTGCATCCCGCGACGGCCTGCTGACCCCGCGCCTGCAGAGACGCCCTGGGCGCGGCCCTCCACCTCCCGCCCAGGCGCCACAGGCGCCCCGCCCACTGCCGAGCCTCTTTCTAGGAAGGAGGGGACGGTGCGGAGGGACCCGAGTGCCTACCGCGAAGGAGGCAGCAGCGCACAAGCACAGCTGCTTCATGGCGACCGGGAGCGGGGCGGGGCCGGATCAGGCCACGCCCACCCCTCGCCCGCGGGGCTCCGCCCTCCTCCTCTGGCACAGGCTCCTTCTTCCCCAGACTCAGCACCCTCCCTTATCAGTCTCAGGCCCGGTCCACATCCTCCTCGGGCACAGAGCCCGCCCAGCTTCTCCCCAGATTTCAGGCCCCTCCCACCTCCTCCACCCCCGCTCAGTACCCCCCACCCCCCCCCCCCCGCTCACATCCTTTCCACGGTTTTCTCGCTCGCCAGCTATAGAGCGCGCTCTTCCCCGTCACCCGTCTCCCGCACTGACACGCTCCATCCCCCTTTCAGGCTCCCCCGGACCTCCCGGATGGTCCCTATCCGGTGTCAACCAGCTAACACCTCACCTCCAGCTCACCTTACTTAGAATGATGGGCAGGTGGCCCATCATCCATTCAGCCATCCCTTTCCAATTGTCCATTCATTCATTCATTCATTCATTCCTGCCTATCTTTTCATTAATTCGTTCATCCATCGTTTCACACATTCGTTCTCGCCAACAGTTTTCATTCAGGCCTGCCTCGCCATTATCCACCTGTGGACTGACCTAGACCTCACCTGCTGAGGCCTCGGCCCTCCCCATATGCACAATGGGTTTCATATATACTTTCCAGACACAGCTCCAGAGGGCCGTGCTAAGGCTGAGCAGAACGCACCGCCCTGCACAACAGGCCTGGTACACCATGCGTACACAATAGGAACTGCATTTCGTTCATCAGGCACATGGATCTGGGCCGTGCACAACTCCCAGGCTGGGTCATAGGAATCCGTGCGTCTTTAGATCAGCTGAAAGCGCAGATTGCAACCCCTTGTTTCCGTCTCCAAGGTGTTTGGCACTTGTCTGCCTTGCCTGAAATTAGAGCCCTCCGTGCAGGACCCACAGGGAGTCCCTGGCCCACAGCCTGAGACATTTATTGAGAGACTGCTGAGTGCCTTTCTAGCTCTGTGGCTTCTGTGCATGTGAGCTGACATTTTAGAAGCTGTCTTGGGGACAGGGCAGCAGGCAGGGACACATAACGGGAGCTGTGGGTAGAGAGCTCCTGGAGAGGCAGAACTTGGGGAGAAGTGAGTGGTTCACTCAGTTGCTTTGCACAGGTGGAGATACGGTTTCCCTAATAACAACTTCTGCCTTTGTGTCCCATAACACTCTAGACACTGGTGTGTCCCTCTCTGCATGGAATCCTGGAGCATGTGTGCGTGTATACATATATACACGTGTATACATGTATACATATATAAATATATACACACTTATACACATAAAGCTACATATATACACATATGAATATATACACATGTATATAGACACGCACACAAATAGACACACATGCATATACACACACATATATACATACATGTACACACACGTGTCAACTTTAAGAGAGAGAGAGAGAGAGAGAGAGAATACTGAGATGGGCGCGGTGGCGCACATCTTTAATACAGCATTTGAGAGGCAGAGGCAGACGGATCTCTGTGAGTTTGAGGCCAGTCTGATCTACAGACCGAGTTCTCGGAGAGCCAGGACAGAAAAAAAAACAAAAACAAAAATAAATAAATAAATAAATAAATAAACAAACAAACAAAAAAGGGAGAAGAATACTTTGAGCCTTGTGTGGCTGCCCAACCCATGATCCCAGCTGGGAGACTGAAGAGAAAAGACTGATTCAAGGCCAGCCAGGGCTACCACGTCCAAAACTTTACAAGCCTCCGTCACTGCCTGGAGGGGTTTTCTTCAAATAAGGTCAGGTCAGCAAGAGTGCCCCAGATAAAGTAATTCCCATTCAATACAAAAGAAAATCGGGCCCAGAGCCCACTGAGCCCCCGCTGGGACTCTGGAGGACACCTTGGGAACTCGAGCTCAGCTGAACGAACATCTGCAGGGCTGCAGCCTGGAACTTGGCCACAGCAGGAGCGGACTCAGGGGCCCAGGGCACCACGGGACCTCCAGGCAGCCGTGAGTATTCGCTTTCTTCCCTAGGGGCTGCCGAGACAAAAGCCAAGCTTCACCTGGGCTGCTGTGGGGAAACCAGAGAAGGGTGGGGGTGGCAGACTGGTTCCTGGCGAGGAGGGGCGGGCCAGGCCTCACATCTGCTGCACAAGCTTGAGCAGCGCCAAGGCCCCGCCACTCCCTACACTGTTGCTGCCCCTTTGCCGAAGCCGCACAAAAACGCACCCACATTCCAAGCTAAGTGACTCTTGCCAAGGGTGGACTGCAAGATTTTGAAATAATTCAGCTTTTTAAATAGGTGAGTCTTTTTTCCACAGAGAGTTTCCCTGTGTAGTAGCCCTGGCTGTCCTGGAACTCACTCTGTAGACCAGGCTGGCCTTGAGCTCAGAGACCCGCCTGCCTCTGCCTCCCGAGGGCTGGGGTTAAGGTTTTAGTTATCACAGCTGGCCTAATTAAGCTTTTCAAAAACTACTTTTCCTTAACTTAAAAATTGCATTTATAAAAATAAAAAAATAAAAATAAATAAATAAAAACAAGCTGGGCAGTGGTGGTGTATGCCTTTAATCCCAGCACTTAGGAGGCAGAGGCAGGTGGATTTGAGTTCGAGGCCAGCCTGGTCTACAGAGTGAGTTCCAGGACAGCCAGGGCTACACAGAGAAACCCTGTCTCGAAAAACCAAAAATAAAATTAAATTTAAAAATTTTAAAAATTGCATTTGGGACTGGAAAAATGGCTCAGTGGTTAGGAGCACTGGTTGGTCTTCCAGAGGTCCTGAGTTAAATTCCCAGCAACCACATGGTGGCTCACAACCATCTGTAATGGGATCCGATGCCCTCTTCTGGGGTGTCTGAAGAGAGCAATGGTGGTGAACTCATATGCATAAAATAAATAAATCTTTTTTTTTTGTTTTGTTTTGTTTTTTCGAGACAGGGTTTCTCTGTGTAGCCCTGGCTGTCCTGGAACTCACTCTGTAGACCAGGCTGGCCTCAAACTCAGAAATCCGCCTGCCTCTGCCTCCCAAGTGCTGGGATTAAAGGCGTGCGCCGCCACCACCACCCGGCTTAAATAAATCTTCAAAAAATAGTTTTTTAAAAGTTGCGTTTAAGTGTATGCAAGCACACATGCATGGAGGCAGAGGTCTGAGGGCAACTCTGTGGAGTCCTTTTCTCCTGCCACGAGAATCAAACTCAGGAGAGATGGCTTGGCAGATAGCTCAACGGCTGCTGTCCCAGAGGACCAGAGTTCAGTTCCCAGCACAGACAGACAGACAGACAGCACTTCCACACACATAAAATAATAAAATATACTATAAAGCCCTGAGGTATGTGTCCTTGGCTGCAAGTACCCTTCCCTACTGAGCTATCCGCCAGCCCATTACTCAGCATTGCAATGACTTAGTTTCCAGTCGACTGAGATACTCAGGGATTCTATCAGAAACTTATCTGGGGAAAAGAGGGACCAGGTGGAAAGGGACCAGTCCAGCCTGTGTAGGAAAGCAACAGTCCTCTCTCTCTCTCCTTCTCCCTCTCTCTCCCTCCCTCTCTCCTTTCTCTGAATCTCTCTCTCCCTCTCTCTCTCTCTCCTCTCTCTGCATATCTCTCTTTGAATCTCTCTGTCTGTCTGTCTGTCTGTCTCTGGCTCTCTGGCTCTCTCTGGCTCTCTTGCTCCCACCCCCACCCCCGCCCACAAACCCTTCCCTCCCCATTCCCCCTGCAAGTCACACCCACTGATACCTATCTCCATCTCCTACTGGAGACAGGCCTGTCATTTTGGAGCTGTGTGACTCTGAGGAGCCTCCACGGCCTCCCTGAGCCGCCCTTCCTCTGTCACACGCACACAATGTAAGTTCATTCCTTGAAGAATAAGAGTGAGCGGGAGACCAGGGTTCATAGCACAGAGCACTTGGGAATCCCTCAGGAATCAGTAAATCTCGATGAGGAAAATGCAGACAGAAGCAGGAGAGTTTGGGGGAATCTCAGCAACACCTTGCATGTGCACAGGAGGGGGACGCCACAGTAACCACCGCGAGCCTGCGTGGGGAGTGGCTGAGCAGAGCTGAGCCACTAGTGCCAGTCAGTGAGCCCGCGGGAGCAATTAGCATTCGATCCAGAAAGCTGGACAAGGGCCTGCTGGAGCAGCTGGGGGATGGGGACTGGGACGGGGAGATAAGGCGGAGCCTAAAGGAGGAGCAGTGGGCCAGTGGGTCTGGGGGTGGGGGGAGCAGGAGGAGGGAGTTGATGCCCTCCCTCAGGCCTGCAGACTCACCTCGGTCTTCTTGAACCGTGCCCGGAGGGTCTTCATCACGCCTGCTACGGGCTCTCCTCCTGTTTCTGGGCAAGGCGTGGGTGGGGGGAAGAACAGAATACTGGGGTGCTCAGCCACACCGTCCTGCACAACACAGCCTGGGCAGATCTGCTGTGCGCCCTGGTGCAGGTTACTTGTGCTCTCTGAGGGAACTGAAGGGAATAATTCCCCCTTGTCTGGGCAGCTGCTGAGTACTTGGTGCAGTCCCCTGAAGAGTCTCCTGCTGAGAGTGCACTAGCTCAGCCCTTCACACCGCTCTGCAACCTGCAGTTTGAGCAGTCCCTGACGCCATGAACCCCTCAGCACCCAAACACACTTCTCTGTGAAAGTTCTCATAAAATCGCCTCTCTCCCAGACAGAACTGATTCTAGCTCCCCAAATGGAGCTTCCTGAGTTCTCCCAACCTGGATTTCCTCCTGTACCTCTAACCTGGGTTTGTATATAACGGATCTAGAGGGAGGACACACTGGACAGTCAGTCCTTTGCAAGAAAGTCTGGTCAAAATTGTCACTACTATTGGTAAGCAAGAGCAATCTATTCAGGGCAAATCCACCCATCCATTCCTCCATCCACCCACCCACACATCCACCCACACATCCACCCACTGATCCCACGTCTTCTACTAATCAGTCTGACGCTTCAGGTTCACCACCGTCACCCCACACCCACCACCAAGGGCGACAAAACACCCAATACAGTTGTCCACATGCTACCAGTTGAAAGGAAATCGAGGCAAGGCAGCAGGGAAGGCCTGTGGATTTAAGGGTTTGCCTCCTAGAAGAGGGGACACAGCACAGGTGACGCTGCGCACTGTGCCTGGGCCACGGCTCCCGCGTGGGATGTGTGAGCCTGTCACAGGTGTGCAGACACATGTGTCCACACTGTTGCAGGCAGCACGCCGCGGGGCAGTACCAGCACCCAGACTTCCCCTGGCCTTCCTAACCCGCATCCCCCTACCTCAGACGACTCCAGGCCGGAACCCAGCGTCCAAGCAGCCTCTCTGGTTACCCGCTCCAGCTGCGAGCCGCCAGTAGCAGAGTCTAAGTGACACCCGATCAGGTTGGGGGAGCGCCTGCCCCAGGGGGACGGATGAGCCAAGGGAGGAGACAAGCCGCTGTTGGGCAGCTCGCTCAGATGGGCAGCCCCAAGGACGGCCTCTCCCACCTCTCCGTGTGCTCCTGCCTCCTCAAAGCCTTTCTTGGGGTCTCCACGGGGGTTAGGAGGCTTCCGTGGTCATGTGCTGCCACTGACCCGGGTACCCAGTCACCATCGCCATGGCCTGGTCCTGTGTCTGTTGATTACCAACAGGCAGGATGTTCAGAGGGTGCCTGCCATCCTCGGTGGCATGGAAGCGGGGCACCACAGGTTTCCTCCTCACCTCGCTCCCTGCATCTCTGGGCACCTCTGTGGACCTGACCCTATGCTCTGTGCTATCCGGGGAGGTGCACTCCAGAAACCAACCCGGGAAAAGCTGGCAGGGCCGAGGAGTCTTCCCTCTGCCCGAGAACGCCTTTCCCATTCATTCTATCCCGTGGTCAGAGTCAGGCAGACGCACTGGATGACAGTCACAAAGCAGGGACCCACAGGCTGGGGGAGCGTGTGAGCCTCGCGTGGCTTTGAACCCGCAGCGCCGGGCTCCGCGCGCTGGGAACTGAGCGGGGGTTCGTTCTGCTTTGCTTTGGGGTTCTGTTGCTGATGTGTTCTCTTTTGAGACAGGCTCGCACTGCACGGCAGCTCTGATCTGGGACTGGCAATCCCCGGCCTCGGCTCCTGTGAGCGGCTCTGGTCCCGGACGAGCCGGCCCCAGGCCGGGGACGCACGGAGTCCGGGAGGTGGCCGGCACCGAACCCCGCACCGCGGCGTCGGGGGCGCATGCGCTCTGGGAGGACCGCGGCTCTTCCCCTGTCCCCACCCCGCCCCCGGCACGTATCCGGGAGGGCGGCCACTCTTTCCCGGCCCTCCTTCTCCACTTCCGGCGGAAGCGGCCTCAACAAGGGAAACTTTATTGTTCCCGCGCAGCGGCGCCGGCGACGATGTCGGTGAACTATGCAGCAGGGTTGTCGCCTTACGCGGATAAGGGCAAGTGCGGGCTGCCCGAGGTGAGGGCCGCGCTGTCGGGTCACCGAGTGACCCCAGCCAGGGAGCGGCCGGGCGCAGCGGGGCATTGTGGGAACAGCACGAAGCACGGCGTCTAGACAATGAGAGGGACTTCCCTGGACGGAGGGGGCGGGAGGTGACGCCCCTGCTCGGCCAGGTGACACGGAGGGACCTGGGTCAGGGAAGGAGTGAGGGGCTCATGGGAAGGAGAGCGGATCGTCAGGCCAGGGAGTGCGCGTGTCAATACCACGAGGGTGCTGGGTGGCACCCTCCCCCGGACACCCTCCCCGGACACCCTCCCCGGGACACCCTCCCCCGGACACCCTCCCCGGACACCCCACACTCCTCCTCCTGTGTCCGGGCCAGATGGACCCTGGGGCTGGGGCTGCCAGGCTTTGTTGTTTCCGAGGGGGTGGAGTGGGATGCAGGGGTCTTTGTAGCCCAGGTTGGCTTCGAACTCCCAGAGCTCTTCCTGCCTGCGCCCTCGCGCGCGGCCGAGCTCGTGTTGTGGACCCCGGGGACAGACCGAGCCGCATCCTGATCTGGGGGAGGCGGGTTAGCTAAGGGCTGGCTGGGGATGACCTCACTGGGGAGGTCACGTGCGCCACCTCCTGCCCAGGACAGGCGAGCAGGTGCGCTGAGAAGCGGGGGCCCAGCGTGTGCAAAGGCCCAGCGTGTGCAAAGGCCCTGGGGTGGACGTGGCGGGAGGTCGCGTGTTGCGAGGTCGCGTGCTGACCCCTCCTGCCCTCTGACCCTACAGATCTTCGACCCGCCGGAGGAGCTGGAGCGCAAAGTGTGGGAGCTGGCGCGGCTGATGTGGCAGTCCTCCAGTGTGGTTTTCCACACGGGCGCCGGCATCAGCACCGCCTCCGGCATCCCCGACTTCAGGTCGGTGAACATGGAGGGGAAACTGAGGCAGGGCTCTTGCTGATACCTCTGGGGACCAAGGTGAGGTGGCAGAAGGACCTTTCAGTTCTCCGTCTCTGAAAAGCCCAGCGAAGACTCTACCTGCGCAGCAGCCAGGGCGTACCCCTGGGGTACAGCGGCGCAAGGCATGCTGGGAAAGGCTCTTCGTGGGTCAGAATGACCTCATCCGTGACCTGCGGCCTGTGACCTGTGGAAACCTGTGACCGCTGGAAAGCGTCCTGGGAACCCGCAGCCCCGGCTCCACGAGCTCCCCTGCCTTTGTTAACCCCCCGGCCCTCAGCCCCCTGCCTGCCTGGCCCCGGGTCTCCCCCACAGGATACAGAACCCCAAGAGCAGGGCCGGGCCCGGCGGGGCCGCCTTCGGGGTTGACGGGGAGAGTCCGGCCTGGAGGATGAAGTTCTGACCTCCGTCCTGCCTTCTGCTTGGTATCCTCAGGGGTCCCCATGGCGTGTGGACCATGGAGGAGCGGGGCCTGGCCCCCAAGTTTGACACCACCTTCGAGAGTGCCCGGCCCTCCAAGACGCACATGGCCCTGGTTCAGCTGCAGCGCGTGGGCTTCCTGAGCTTCCTGGTCAGCCAGAACGTGGACGGGCTGCACGTGCGCTCCGGCTTCCCCAGGTCGGGGGGTGGGGGGGGCTTTGTTAGGAACGCAAAGAGGGGAAGGCTCCGAGCCCATAGCAGGGCAGTACTTGTCAATTGGGGGATTCTAGGCGGGGTTCCAACCCCGACCACGCCCCCAGCCCTCACAGAGGCGGGGCTTGACCGGGGCTCTAGGGCCAACAGGCTGTTGTGGGGGTCACGTTCAAGACAGGGTTTCTCTGTGTAGCCCTGGCTGTCCTGGAACTTGCTCTGTAGACCAGGCTAGCCTCGAACTCACAGAGAACCGCCTGCCTCTGCCTCCCGATGGTGGGATTAAAGGCGTGCGCCAGCACCACCGCCCAGCTAGCCGACAGATGGTTTGTAGCGGGGAGCAGGTGCCCGTGAGTTTGTGAGGATGCGGTGAGCTGTGTAGCAGTTCCTGGGAAGGCAAGCTAGGGCATCCTCCCTGAGGTGAGGTTCCAGGAAAGACAAGTGTGTGCACCTTGTGAGTGAGTTGCCTAGGAAGGCTTTCTGGAGGAGGAAGAGGCAGACTGAGCAGCTGGTCCTGGCCTCAGGATCCGGGAAGGGTCCTCACTGGCATCTTCTTCTGCAGGGACAAGCTGGCAGAGCTGCACGGAAACATGTTTGTGGAGGAATGTCGCAAGTGTAAGACGTGAGTGTTGCACTTGTCACAGAAGACCCTGGTCCTCCGCTACACAGCTCAGGGTCGCAGCGTGGCCTAGGGAAGGCCAGGACAGTCAGATGACGACAGACCAACAAGGGCTGGTAGACAAACAGGCAAACCCTTTCTTTAAGGTCACCCAGGCGAGAAGCTACAAAATGGGGTGATAGAATCACCCTTGGCAGTGAGGGGTGTCCCTGCCCTGTCTTTGCTATGGGGTTGTCAGCATGGCTTGGACACCAGAGCCTCTGGGTGTGAAGCAAGACCTGCCTCCTGAGTCTCCTGAGCCTCCTGAGCCTCGGCCCCTGACTCCCTCCTTAGGGATTCTTTCTTCAGATAGGACTTCATTAAGTTGCCCAGGTTAGCCTGGAATTTGGCATCCTCCTGCCTCAGCTTCCCGAGTGCTGAGCTCACAGGTGTGAGCCATCATGTTTGCTTAGCCGCCTCCCTCTCACCCCCTCTCGTGTGATGCCAGCAGCTGACACAGGCTCAGTCCCTCTGCCCCCACTCTCTCAGAACCTGTCCCTTTTTGGTTTAGCCGAGTGGCCAGGGAACTCCCAGAGTCCCTGCTCACCCTCCTAAGCTCTGGGTCGACAATCCTTCTTTCTCCATGGGTGACCCAAACTCAGAGCCCCGTGTCTGCATGCCAAGCACTTTCCAGACTGAGCCGTCTGTCTGTCTATGCCCCGACCGTTTGTCTTGCTCTGTATGA